CGGCGACATTTAATCTGGTAGATGTGGCTGTCCCGCTATTTGCACGGCAAACACGCGACGGGATGAGCTCGTTAAATCGTCACGCTCGGCATCACGCCGTGCAAACACGCCGCGCGTTTGACGGCGTTTATTATAGATTTACACTAGTTTTATAGGATTATTTTTATATAAATAATATTAATAATAAATAATTAATAACCCTGAATAATTAATAAGTGTTTTAGAAACAATATTTGTGGCCTATACAATAATATATAAAGATAGAGAACGGCTGAAGATTGTGATCAGAGGCATGCATTGGTAGCGGCCTATGTCATTTTAAAAATGAAATAATTCTAAAAATTATGTAATTAATACTATTGTAATATTAATCAAATCAAATCAAAATATCTTTATCTATGTATGTCTATTACAGACTTTTATGGTGTGTTAAATCTACAGTCAGTTCGGAATGGTTTCGAGATGAGAAGGACTGACAAGAAACTCAGCTCGTAATGACTGTTTCAATCAAAATCATTAATCATATTATGTACAGTTGTGTTTGTTATTAATTATTATAACATACATTGATGATTTAATTTTAACAAATTAATTCTATTAATGAAATAAATGTATGAATAAAAAAAAAGCTGACGTGTTATATGCTCTCGGAGTAGAATATAGAGATACTTTGGAAAATATGTTTTTTAATAAATTTACATGATTCTGTGCTTCATAAGGTTTGTACTTGTATTCGTTTTTACAAAGTCCAATATTAGTTGTTTGTTATTGTTAATATTAATATTAGAAATAACCTATGTATAATATGTATGTATTTATGAAAATATCTATGTATTTGTATCAGTTGTCTAGTACCCATATCACGAGCTTTAGCTAGCTTAACTTGAGTCTAGATGGCGCTGTGTGAATTGTTCTGAGATTATTTATTATTGTTACTAAAGCGTAGTTCAATATTACTAAACGACACTAACACAGAACCGTTTCCAATAATTACATACATTTAATTATTGTAATTAGTTTGCATTATAAATTAGTTAACCAACATAGCGGACGGAGGGGCGGCTCGTTGGGCGCCACTGCAAAATGTGAGCTCATCACAAAATCATGGCTCGTTTAATCATAGCTCTGAACAAGCGTAGCACACCGCATCCAATTAGAACTTGTTCAAATATCTGTAATTGGAGAGATTAATCGACAGTGCTCGTCGTGGAATTATCACAGCTGGATGTGATATACATTCTTACTTCATTCATAGTTGATACTGTACATTATGAATATGCGATTGTTTTTTCTATCTTGTTTCTATCTTGATTATCGCATGCCTCTTACTTGTTATTGTATAATTATTTATTTAAAAGAAAACATTTATACAAAAGAGCAACACAACATTCTTACTCATTCTTCTTGTGATGAATCTGCGTTCTGAATGAGTGGTAGAATAAAAGATATGATTTTTAAAAAGTGCTTGTATTTTTTACGTCGAGCAACACGGATGTTGTGAGGACAAGTGACTACACGAAATTTCGGATATAAGCTGATTTACTATATATTATGACATAAAGTTAGTGCATATACACTACAAAGTACCATACATATAAAATAATTTCAAAATAAAAGTTCTTGTTGGGCACAAGAACTTTTATTTTGAAATTATTTTATATACTACACTACACTACTACACACACTACACTATTGGTAGCAGACTTCCTCGATTGCGTTGATAGACCACTTCTTGAAGGTGGACAATATAGTGCCACCCGAGCCACAAAAGCCCAAAAACTAGATACTAGTACTAAAGTATTATTTTATGCATAAAAATACACTTAAATATAATGAATAATATATTTATGCCGCATGATGTTAAGTCCGCCAAAGTTACTTTACTATTTTTTGTATATTGTGTGCATTGAAGTTAAATAAATAAATAAGTAATTTATAAATATAATAATAATAATAATAACTCTTTATTGTGCATACATATTACAATCCTTCTGTGCGAAATTACATATTCCTCCGTCCGCGGAATTCTCGTAAAGAGAGGTACAAAGATTTTGCTTCACACGTTCTATTCCATTGGTTATATCGGTGGTGCAGTGGTTGGAATGATGGAGTCTGCAAGGCAAACGTCTGTGGTTTACACAGAGAGTTCAGTAATTAGCGCCCGCTGGGATATACCTTGAGTTAAGCGCCCAGATACTCTAGATTAGGACAGTCAGACGCGTTATGTAGGTTTTCAGTTTGTTTCAATAAGGAACATTTTACATTTATAGAGCATATTATTAGATATGTATTGGGGAAAGAGTATTGTTAGTAATAGGGACTAGTGACTCCATTGAAAGCAATGTACTATGACTTGCAACGTTACATGTAACATCTAGTCAGTGAAACAACTTATTAATTTTCTTTTTATAGTTTACTAGCTCGTCCCGGCTTCGCTCGGGTGTACATGTAATAAATATATAAATCTTCCTCTTGAATCACTCTATCTATTAAAATAAATCGCTTCAAAATCCGTTGCGTAGTTTTAAAGATTTAAGCATACATAGAGACGGACAGACAGCGACCGCGACTTTATACTATGTAATGATAAGAAGAAGGACTTCATGGTATACTTGAATCTCGAGATTTATAATTAATATTATAGATGGGTAGATAAATATCCTATCCATTGTACACAAACTTGTCTAAAAGTTACTCCGAGCTCTAAAGAGATCTGGATTGTTTAACTGACAGTGCAGAAGCTGCGTCGAGCGCAGTGGTAACTTAACTGTTAATAGTTGAACTAACACTGCACATTTAATGTTTGCATACTAACCAACTTATAGCCAAGCGTTGTTAGATATCCCGCCAAAAATAGAATGGAATAGAAAATCCTTTATTCACATAAAACTTAATTTTGAATAGTCATAATAATTTTTTTAATCTACCGCTCATTTGGAAAGCTGACTCATCACAAGAAGAACGAGCAAGGAACTTGTGTGTCGCTCTTTTAAATAATCCTTGTAAGTTCACATATTTCAAGTCGAAACGTGTGAATACAAACTATTAACTAGTAACACTAATTTATAAAGGACAACAGATTTAAATGCTTTTGAATAAAAAATGTGGGATATGTTTGTTGTAAGCGGACAATCTATTAGGCACATTGATTTTAGTAGAAAAAAATGTGTTGCAACTGTGGTGAAAACCAGATTCAATTATATTTGCTGATATATATCCACTGAACATCTCTATAAATACCTTGATTTTTTACATGACAGATTTTATCCATTCAGTATGTTGATATTTTTCGTTTCTCGACTTAAGTGTGGTTTATACTGCACCAGACAAGATTTGATTATCTTTTTTATTTTGTTATACATAATAAGATCTCCTTATATATGTGGCTAACATATATGTCCCGGTTTTTTTTTTTAACTTTGGTGTTATTCTGTGTTTAGTATTATTTGAATGGGACCTTATTTGAATTCTGTACATATAATATACATTTATTTGGTGTTGCAAGGTTTTTTAATAATTAATTAGCTCTTAATAATTTGTAAAGTTTTTACCGACAAACCGTCACCTGTGCGACTGTAGACTTTCGTTTTATATATGGGATAAATGATCAAAAAATGGTAGGACTGACTATCGACCTAAACCTCGTTTACGATTTTAGACATTCAAACGAGTATCGTTAACAAATGTACTCCATAACCCAGTCTTTGATCACATTTCATAATCCAGTCATCATTTGCACATGTAGTACATATGGTTTAGTGCAATTAACATAAATTTCGTTACAAATTAAGCCAGAATAATTTGCAATGGATCGTATAAATAATTTAACGGCGGGAATCTCAACTAATCCGACTAATTTGACTAATATGCTTAGTGATCGCGCCCGCCGACTGAATATTGCACGAGGCTGTCTGCCGCGACTGCACGCCTCTGATTTACAGCGTTTCATGTACCCTACTTAATATTAATATGCAATGTTTGTTTGTATATCACGTTATATGGGTGCTCATTTGTTTTTTATTGATGAATATGGAATGGTGCACCTGCCTGCGATTTACGCTGACGGGGCACCAGTGGAGGATGAAATCAAGTCAGTTGGCCCATCGTGACAAGTTCACCGGAATTTATCACGATGGTTTCGAGGAGGAACCACGTGGAGGTCAACCTGACTGACAATGTTAACGATGGGTAGATAGTTCACATTACTAACAATATCTTTCCCCCCTGGGTGCTCATTTTTTTTATTGATATTGCGCTGGCGGGGCCCTGTGGAGGATGATAAGATGAATACGAGGTCAGGTCTAATTAGGGTCTAATTAGGAGGAGAGGTATAATTTTTAAATATATAATATAATGTAACTAACTGTGCCCACGACTTCATCCGCGTGCAATAGAGAGTTTGGATACGTTAAAATATAATATTTAATATAGAAAAATGTTTTAGCGATCTAGCCTAAAAAATGATTTCATACAAACATTACTCCAATAATAAGTTTCAAACTTTAAAAATCATGATATTTCCATACAACGTTTCGTCTCTCATTTCAAACCCCTTACAGTCGGTTTTTCTCGTTTTTTTAGAGTATTTTTTTTTATTTGAGTCTTTGGGCTATTGTCAGGTGCATGGACCTGTAGCACTGCGATCTACATAGATCTATTGTGTTTCCAAAGTTCACTACTTAGGTCCGTCAGGGACAAGAATTGAAGGATATTCCTTGGAGCGATGCTTTTTATTTCCTCAGGAAAGAGTGTAAACTTTCCAAAGGAGATATTTCGTTTATGCGTGTGTGGGCTACAACCACAAGGATGTGTTATGGCGCTTCCTCTTCAGTTTGGCAACATCTGCAGATTTTTGTTGTGCTTAGGCCTAGGTTTGCCACATGTTTGTCCTGTGAGGGCTCTAGTCATCATGCATAATGTTGTTTTTATTCAGTTTTACTCAGTACTTTTTAGTGCGTTTCTCCTAGAACAGATTTCATGGTGTTTCTTTTTGTCTACAGCTGCGACGGAGGTGGTCGTCGGCGCGGACAATACGAGCGTGGGCGGAGCTAGTGCGGGCTCGTGCGCAGTTTGCGGGGCGAGCGGCGCGTGGCGCGCGGTGGCTCGGGCGCGCGCAGCTCAGTACGGGCTGCAGGAGGCGGCGGCCGGCGCGCGCGTGTGCGAGCCGTGCCACTGCCGCTGCGTGCGCGCGCGGTACACGCGCTGCACCGTGCGGGCCTGCCCGGGCCCGCGCGTGCGGGCCAAGCGCCTCAGACACCTGCCGCCGCGCTGGCACGACCTCGCGCCGGACCTCAAGCGGCCGCTGCTAGAAGAGTTCCGTGAGTGCACTTCTATTACTATCTACTATGATCTTGTAGTATATTTGGTGGCCTAGCGGTTTTGCTCACCGCCATTCTGCGGTCGCGGGTTCGATTCCTTGCACGGTACAATTATTTATACTCATGAATTTTATTGTTTGTATCAATGTGTATATATTATGGAGGTATTTACAAAAATTATATATGTATTTATCAGTTTACACAAGTTATGCTTAGCTTGGGTCTAGAGGGCGCTGTGTGAATTGTCGTGGTTAATAACAGAAGAATAGAAAATCATTTATTCAAATAAACTTAATTTAAGCACTTTTGAATAGTCATAACAATTTGTTTTTTATCTACCACTCGTTCGGAAAGCTGTCTCATCACAAGAAGAACGAGCAAGAAACTTGTGTGTTGCTCTTTTAAATAATCCTTGTAAGTTTACATTTACAAGTCGAAACGTGTGAATACAAACTACCAACAAGCACTAATTTTTTGGGTCAAATATAACCTTGCAATAAGATTAAATCAGTCGTAGTGATAAGAGCAGACCAGTCCCTACAAGCAGCACTCGTTCACGAGTATGACGGATGAGCCAGCCATCACTGCGCTCGACCATATTTTAGGGAGCCCATTGACCCGGCCCACCACGCCGCCACATGTCTGGACATTTTAGTGAGCATGACTACTCATTCCGCACGACCACGTCACAGCTACAAAAGTTACTATATGGTAGTTACAGTATTCGCACTTTACATAAGGATGCATGCGGCAATCAATACAAAAGCCGCTACGCTATCATATATCAAGAAAGCAGTAAGAAGCATTAAGCTTCCTCTGCCTACCTCTTAAATGATCTGGTATGAAGATAGAAAGGTAATTATTTAACGTTTGCGATAATTGACTCAATTGTTGTACAGAAATACCGAGTGATCTCAGCAAATGCTGCCTGGCATGCTTCAAGCGGATCACGAGACGACTAGAATCCATGGGGGAAACCACAGAACCCTCGGAAGAGGAGGTGTCCCGATTGAGGAGTTTGCTCAAGGAGCACGGCACGGCGTGGGAGCGGATAGCACCTCTCTGCGGTAGAACGCCGGCCAGCCTGAAAGCATTTTATTTCACGTATAGGTTTGTTGTTTTTCAACTTTTTTACTGATGTATCGCTTCTATTGATTGTAGCGTAACATTATATGGATTAAAGCTTTCCTCAAATGGACTATCCAACACAAAAATAAGTTTTCAATTCGAACCAGTAGTTCCTGAGATTAACGCGTTCAAACAAACAAACTCTTCAATTTTATAATATTAGTGTATACGTTAAGTGTAGTCATAACCTGAACAGACCGACCCCACAAGCAAGATATATATATATAAATCGTGTGTTATCGCACAACAGGAAAAAGTACCAGCTGGAAGCCGCGGTGGCGGAGCGGATGGCGGGCGCGGGCGGGGCCGGGGGCGGGGCGGGCGGCGCGGGGGACGGCGCGGGCAGCTCGCGCTCCTCGGAGGGCGGCAGCTCCGGCGACACCGACTCGTGCGGGGAGTCCCCCCCGCCGCCGCCCGGCCCGCGCCGCCCCCGCGCGCGCCCGCCCGCCCCGCGCCGCCCCACGCACGACGACGACTCCTCCGCCACGGAGACCGCCGACGAGGAGACCGAGCCCAGCGCCAAGGTAAACACGATGCTATTATATATATTAAATGGACTGTAATGAAATGATGCACCCGCCTCCTTTGACCGATGTTAAAATGACCATGAAGTCAAATCAGTTAAGCCGTCTTGCAAATGGCAATTTAAATCAAATTTCGAATCTAACTGTAAATATATTTTTACTCAAGTCGCAATTGTAGTGGTTGCAGAGTGGGTGAAATTCTATCATAATTGAATTAAATTACAAGTTTGTAACATTTTTAAGATTAAAAATTTGTTTCACGTATATATATTACTTTGATAACAGCAGAGAAACAAACCTCTATTCGCAAAATTGACAATTAACAATATTAACATTATTTGACATTATTTGACGTTTTGTTATTAGTAGTTGTACATGTTTTTTTTATATTTTTTTAAATATTTTGCACTCCTTCTCTATATAAACTATAAATATCTCAAATTTCATAATCCTTCGTCTGCGGATTTTCGTATAAAGCGGTAAAAAATTGCGTCATAAATATAATGATATAAATAATATTGTTTCCAGATTTTACCACCTACATCAATACCGGCGCCCGCGTCGTCGTGCTCGAGCACACCGCTAGCGACGTCCGTCCCCACCATCGCCATCACCAGCGTCGCGGGGACCTGCACCGCGACGGGCGCGGGCGCTATGTCCGTGTCGGTGGCGGGCTCGCAGCCGGCCACGGTGGCGGTCTCGAGTTCGAGCTCGGCGGGGGCGGGGCCGGGGCCGGGGGCGGGGGCGGGGGCGGGGCCGGGGGCGGGCCCGGCGCCGGGGCCCGCGCCCGCACGCAACGGGCCCGCGCACCACATGTCGGTGCGGGACCTGGTGCTCAACATGATCGAGATCAGCGTCGCCAAGCCGCCGCAAACCGTGCCGCCCACGATCAAACCGCAGCAGATCAAGGTATCTATAGTTTATTGCGCAACACGCTTTCCTTTCTAGTTCTTCTTGTGATTCTGAGTTCCGAATGAGTGGTAGAATAAAAAAAATGTGACTGTTCAAAAGTGCTAATGTTAATTATTTGAATATTTATTATTTTTATTTCATTCGATTTTTATGAATACGTACATAAATTACACCTGTATATAAATAACCTGATTGATACAATTTTATCGATTAATATTCATACTTATGCTATTGTTCTTCATTCTGGTGATGATCTTAGTCAAAGCTAGAATGACATTAAACCGTTCCATAAGTTCCTCATTCCGGTTAAACTATAAAGGGTATCTACGGTTATCAACATTAGAATAGTTAAAAAAATTGTGTTGTTGAGGCATAGATACATCATCTATGGTTGCGTATATCGATGTATCGGTTCGACAGACCGCTGGCGCGGGTCCGGGAGCGGCATCGGGCTCGGCGGGTGCTGGGCGCGAGTCGCTGGCGACGCTGAGCGTGGTGAGCAGCTCGCACAGCGCGCGCAGCTCGCCGCGCTCGCCGCACAGACCCGCCACCATCACGCCGCTGCAGCATCAGCACCAGCACCACCCGCACCACCCTCACCAGCAGAAGGACGGCGTGGTGGTGCTGCACATCGAGCCGCGGCCCGAGCGGCCCGAGCCGCTGCTCGACCTCAGCGTCAAGCGACCGCGCCACGACCTCACCTTCCCGCATCATCAGAAACCGGTACTATATCACAGATCGTACATTTATCTTAACGTCTACAACCTGACAAGGATATTTTATGTATGGCACTACTACTTAACGTATGATTTGAGATGAATATTATTAATCGCATAATTAAATAATAATTCGGCTCGAAGGACTGAAATATAACTACGGTCCTTTGAGTCGGATTAAAAATAAAAGAATTATTATTCCATGAACATAAAATCCCATACTCTAAAACTAATGTAGCTGGTGTGTTTTAATAAAATCTCCAATTAAAAATCTGTTACTTTTTAACTCTTACAAAATAGCAAAAGTGTAAAATAGTACACTAATTATTTGTTTAATGCCACCAGACGTACCGGACTTCCCCGGGCGAGTACCCCCCATATCGGGCGCAAGCTCCATCGGGAGCCGGACCCGGGCCTGGCGCTGGAGTCGGGACTGCAGATCGCAAACCGCAATCTGGTCCAGGACCGAAAGGCTCCATCACGCTGGGCACACCGTTATCTATGGAGGCGCGGTACGAGCCTAAACCCGGATCTATCACCGCCGGCACGCCTGTGCACGCTCATCCGCAGCATCAGCAGCATCCTCAGCATCAGCAGCATCAGCAACACCAACAACACCAACAGCATCAGCAGCATCAGCACGCCGACAAGAGGAACTTCGACTACTACAAGAGAAGAAGTCCGGCGGGCGCGTACTACAATACGCGGCCGCATTCGCCTTCTTCGTTTTCACCGGTAATTGTGTGCATTGAATATTGTATTAATTTATATTATAGATTTGTTTAAATTAATTTTAGTTTATCAAAAAAAAAATCATCAAACAATTAAAAAAAAAAAGAATATATGAACATTATACTAACTAATAGACGGTTCGAGTCCGGCTCGATGAACCGATCACATGGAAAGTCAATGTCGTACCGATTAAATAATTAGGAACGTGTGACGTTCCTTCGTAGTCTCTAAAGTCAGAGTGGAGGAATAGATTAGGAGTGTGCGTATGGTTTCCGGCGCAGCAGCAGACGGCGGCGTACTCGCGCAGCCCGTACGGGCTGGAGCAGCGGCAGATCATCATGGCGGACTTCATCACGTCGCAGCAGATGCACGGCGGCGCGCGGCGCGCGGGCGAGCGGCCGCCGCCCGGGCCGGCCGCGCCGCCCGCCGCGCCCCCCGCCGCGCCCCCCGCCGCCGCCGCCGCGCCCCCCGCCGCGCCGCCCGCGCCCCCCGCGCCGCCCGACCGCCCCGCCTCGCCCTACGCCGCGCGCCGCGACCCGGAGCCGGTGTCCGTCATCCAGCGCCGCACGCCGCACGTCTACCCGCACCAGCACGCGCACCCGCCGCCGCCTCCTCCCGGTAACCGCTGCGTTTTATCTTACCCACTCAAAAAACATTGTTATAGACATGTATTTACAGAATACGTTCCCGACGTTACTGTTACTGTTGTAGCGTTTATAAAAGTAAACAACGACAGGTCAATTGAATTGATTTAAAACGGGACTATCACACATTTTCATCGATAATAATAATTTGACATACCTAATCCACTTGTATCTAATGTTTTATTATATATCTGTGATGTGAGTGATTTTTATTATATAATCATCAGCTGTATGAAGTTCCATCACCACATTACATCTAAAACCGTTGTATCAAATTCATATTGATTGCTGTGTCCTGACCTGATGATTGGTGGCGGCAGGTCACGAGGCGTTCACGTCGCTGGTGGACGTGGCGTCGGCGGCGACGGCGCTGCCGGTGCCGCGCGGCGCGCCCGACCACAAACCCGACCACAAGCACCACGATGCAAGGTACGTCCCCTGGCTTCTATACTACGATCAAATTCTGGTCCTTCGAGCCTGCTGGCACTACGAACAACGATTCAGCTCAAAGGACTGATAACTAATTCCGGTCCCTCGAACCGGATTCCACGAATAGCGACCGGACTCAGAGGACCGACAACTAAATTCTAGTCCTTCGAGCGGGATTATTAGACATATCTTTTATTTCATAAACAGTAACTAATACTATATATTCATCGAATTGAAAATGATTAGGGTTATTAAATAAATATGTGGACGGATCATAGTAAAGAAAGTAGTTTTAGACTTTCACCTGATTGGGTATCTTTGTATCACTTATTTCTACGGTCAAGCACATGGCTTTTTAGGCTGTGTTATAGTTTGCTGAATGAAAAATGTTAAGAAAATTATAGGGTACATTGGTATAATATCTTAATCGTCTCAAATAGCAACACATAAAAGTGACTACAAGCGTCACGTGATGACGTGATATCCATGGTCCTTTTCGAATATATAGACAGCTGATGATACTTTCCATCGAGAACAGCAATCAATATCCATTAAAATTAGCATTTCATTCCAAACAAAACTCCACCTGTTTTAACATTCGCGTAATACTCTAATCGTACGGTAAAATTTGTACCACATCACAACTTCCCCAGAAAAATAAAGCTATTTTATTGATAAGATATTTGTAACTATTGTAGGTTACAAGATAGGCTCCAACGAGACATGGCGATAACGAAGTTCCACCAACAACAGCTGCAGTATCAGGTAAGCATCTAAGAACCCTTTAATAAATTATATCACTCATTAGGGAGGGGGAGGGAGTGAGGAGGGAATATATTAGGAGAAGATAAAATAAATTAAGAAGAAAAAATTAAAGAAAATACATTAATTTCATAATGTCACACTCAAAAACTTACTAATATTCTAAACGCGAAACTTTGTGAATACGGATGGATCAATGTTTGTTACTCTTTCCCGCAATAACTAATAAATGGATTTTGATGAAACTTTACAGTAATATAGTTTATATATCAGAATAATATATAGGCTATAAATTTCATACGGGTGGAACCCCGTTTTATTCTGATATCTAATAATATATCTAAACCTAATCTAATCCTAATCTAATATACCTTAGAGTTAAAATATGTAATAATAAGTTTGAACTGTTAACAAATCAAAATATTAAGTTTTGACAAAATGTGACTTGAAGTTGTTAATTATTTTAAAATTCTAATAATATTTACCATTCGCATGTTTCTCTTCCAACAGATGATAGAAAGAGACAGAAGAGCACAGTTCCTCTCGGAGCGGGATAGACAAATCGCCATGCAGAATAGAGAAAGGTAATTCACTTCACTATTGCTATACTATTTGTGTAAACATAATTGTTTTATGAGAGTGAGTATACGTTATTCAAGTTATAACAATATCTCTGAACGGCGAGCAAACAGAAAGACATCCATTGCAAAAAGTTTTGGTTGATGATAGAAAATTTTAGGTTGTATGTATTTTTAATGCCGAATCATAGAAAAAAAATCTTTTGTCCATGTCCAAAGTATAAAAATTTCAGACGTATGCATAAAACTCCATCATAATCGAAATTTCAGAGAAGTATGGTTGTTCAAAATCTACCCTGTACCATCGTGATCATATTAGAGGATATTAAAAATAAATAACAACCTCAGACGTATACATAAAACTCCATCATAATCGAAATTTCAGTGAAGTATGGTATTAGTTGTACACCATATCTCTCTGAAATTTCAATTGATATTGTGACACGAGAATTTTATATATTACATTATTTATTTTCAATTAAATGGCAAGTGAAACCACCGGGCATTACTAAGTATGCTAATATTGTAAAGTTGAAAACTGTGATTGTATGTTTGTAATCGGTAATTAAAAAAAAGATGTAGTAATTTATTGGTGCACGATGTAATGTAAGTACGTTATGGCAGGGAGCGTATGGCGATGCAGGAGCGTCACATAGCGATGGAACAGCACCAGCAACACCAACAGCAGCAGCAGCACCATCAGAACCAGATGATGCACGACAGGCACCACCTACAGCACGTGCGTACAACACACAGATTCTAATTTATTTATTTGAGCGACCAACAACACATTCAGTATGAAGTTATAATTATTATCTATTGGTAGTAATGTGGACTGATAACCCTATTGCCGGCAATATGCCATGTCAGGTTGACCTTCACGCGGTTCTGATGCGTAAACTGAACCGTGATCGTGACAAACTCACCAGGAATTTATCACGATGGGCTAATTGACCTGACTTCATCTATTATCCTCCACTAATAACACACTCCTCCAGCGTAAACCGTTAGCGCAGGAGAAGCACCATTCCATAATTATCCAATAAAAAACCCACCTGATGGAAAATGCCAACTGACGCGTCACATACATTCAAAATCAAAATATCTTTATTCATATAGGTCTATCACAGACTCCTATGATATGTCAAATCTAATAGAATGTGCTTTCGAGCTTAGAACTGACAAAAACTCAGCTCTTATTCTTTCAAATGAGCTTGTACATGATTACAAAAATACGACTTTCTTGTTTGTACAGGGCGGATGTGAAAACAACCGGTCGGGGTCCGGACAGGGCGCGGGGCCGGTGGGGGGTGCGGGGGGTGCGGGGGGCGCGGGGGGCGCATACAACACGCCCAAGTTACGCGCACTCGCACCACACCTACTTGACAGGAAGGAAAGGTAAGTCCTACATTCGTATATCTTCACATATATTAATCATTTGCAAAACAATATAGTGACATCTGATGTTAAACTATTTCTTAAATGATTCACACAGCGCCATCTAGTCTCGAACTAAGCAGAGCTTGTACTATGGCTACTAATCATCTGATAGAAATACTTCATTACATTTTTTTCATAAACAAATGATATACATAGAATAGACTTCGATATATATAAATATTTATAATCATGAATATTAATTTTTCTATCGATTGAGTATCGAATCTGAGACCATCGTTCATGAGTAGTGTTTTAAATCGCTATTAGTTAATGGACATTTTGTTCTGAAAGCAACTATCCCTGTCTAAATGCCTTAAGAGCCTCTTGGAATGGGTTACTTAAAACGCACTAGAGACAACTTAACTAAACTTAATCTAACATAAGAAGTAGTAGCACTACTTGGAGACTAATTTGAATGTTTTCTTTTTGTTTGAGATTTTTTCTTTTTTATAGGGTTCTCTCAAATCGAGTAGATAGTATGTATACTTATATGAGAGTATTCGTTCCAGCCGGCCTACGGTGACGGTGAGTTCTGCGGGCCCGGGCGCGGGCGCGGGCGCGGGCGGGGGCCCGGCGCCGGGGGCGGGCGCGGAGCGGGGCGCGGCGGCGGGCGCGGGGCCGGCGGGCGGTGCGGGGGGCGCGGGCGGTGCGGGCGGCGCGGGGGGCGCGGGCGCGGCCGTCAGCAGCGAGGCGCGGGCGCGCGCGGCCGAGGGGAAGCTGACTGCGGCCTCGCTCATTGACGCCATCATCACGCACCAGATCAGCCAGACCTCCGACACGCAGCGGTTCCCGGTACGTATCCGCACCCGCACACGTTATTTCTTAAGGGTGCTTCGCGAAAGTGACACCCCTGGTGTATCTGACGTCCATGAGCTACGGGAACCATTTAATATCAGGTGGACCCATACCTCGGTTGAAGGCTAGTGAGGCTTATATCATTGCTAGCGATGTCGTCTCGATACAAGCTGTCAGGTCGACCTGGAAGTCAACATGACGACTTGTATTTTTTTTACGCCTTATGATTAATGAATGAGGGATAATGATGTAAAATTTTACGGTATACATATCGATAGATACTATTTTTTCTCGTCATACGTATTATAATATGTTGGTCGTGCTGGTACACAATACACACGAGTAGTATGTATATTAGATTTAGTAAATAAGAATCATCGGTTCCAGCAAACGATGCGCGAGTGCGACAACGGTCCGGCGAGCCAGCAACAGGACCGCGCCGCCGCCGAGCGAGACGAGGCGCAGGCCGCCGCACACACCGCCAGCATCAAGCTGGGGGACCTCGCCTCCAACATCATCACCAGGGACTTCTGCAGTCCCACCACCTCCGTCATGCACCACAAGTACGTCCTACTACATCTCTCTAATCATTATCTTAATATGTAAAAAAAAACGACCACTGAGTGACTACTAGTAGTAGTCACTCAGTGGTCGTTTTTTCATCAATTTTTCGAAATTCAATAATAAAACTCTCAGGACAATTCACATAGAGTCATCTAGTCCCAAACTAAGCAGAGCTTGTGTTGTTTTATTGTAGTAACTAAAGACATTAAAAAATAAAAGCTTAAGTATATACTACACTAAAAACAACTTTTAAACAACTACTTTGTCAATCTATTTACATAAAAAAAATTGTCAGCAGTAGCAGATTCGTGCCAACATCGGAAGCATACGGCAGCGATGAGTGGAAGCGGCGAGACGGCAAACATGGACCATTCCTCGAACCAGTCTCGCCGCCTGACTCTCATCATCAGAATAGGTAGGTCGATTATTGAAGGGATAAGGGAAGCTGCAATAGATGCTACAAAGTAAAGTATTTTGTTTAGAAAATACTATAATACTATTGCTGTAATTGGACCAGGAAGTGAAATCCAGGAAGAGAGTGCTTTTAACAAAGGCGATTTTGAAAAAATTACTGCTCTCGTAGTCTATATGCTTGTCTGTATTATCCTCTCAAAATTTAAGTTACTTGGAACGACAACAATATCCATATGTTCTCTTTGCAGAAACAACAACGCTCGGCGATACAGCGGCGCGGGCCCGGGCGGGGGCGCCGGGGCCGCGGGCGCGGGGGCGGCGGCGGCGGCGGGCGGCGCGGGGGGCGCGGGGGGCGCGGCGGGCGGCGCGGGGGGCGCGGGCGGCGCGGGGCCCGGCGGCGGCGTGCTGACGGCCTACGACTACGTCACCACGCGCATCGTGGAGGTGATGCGCAGCGACGCAGACGAGCGCGCCAAGCCGCTGCCGTTCCCCGGCTCGTACGCCTACCCGTACTCCGCGCTCAACGTCGCCACCGCGCCGCACCACCACCACCACCACCACGACGGTCAGCACACATTTAATTATATGCATTTAGTTATACAGCAGGAATTTAATATCCGGGGATAGCTATTATACTAAAAAGAAAGCAGGACAATTCACACAACGCCATCTACCCTCATGATAGGCAGAGTTTGTGTTATGGCTACACGACTGAGACATACATAGGAAGACCCAGTTCAGTACAAACAATCATACTCATGAACAAATAGTTTTACTGTCCGAGGAATCGAATCGGGACCACGGCCTATGCATATTTGTTTCTTTTCACGAAGTACTAAATACAATAGATGACGATGACGGATAAAGGTTATCTTTCATTTAAAAAAGCAGATGAAGTCGTAACTAATTAATAGATTTTTTCAAAATATTTATTTGTGAGGTACAGGAAACAAAGGTTTTAATAAATAACATATTTCATTCTACACAAAAAATTTAAGCTATATTATCCGGCTCGAAGGACCTAAAGGTGTGTAACACGATCTTTACATTGGATCAATTGCTGATTTTAATATCGCGTATTTAATTATAAATTAACTACGACTACGGCGTTGCCCTTACTATTTATATGACGCTGTATGGATTTTACTTCGTAATATTTGTGAGTGCGAGATTAACGGGGCGGATGTGTTGCAGGCGCGTCGAGCACGAGCGCGGCACCGGCGGTGAGCGTGGGAGGCGCGCCCGAGCCCGCGCCGCTCATGTCGGCGCAGTACGAGCCGCTCTCCGACGAGGACTGACGCCGCGCGCACTAGCGCCGCCCTCGCGCGCACTAGCGCCGCCCCAGCGCGCACTAGTGCCGCCCAGCGCGCACTAGTGCCGCCCAGCGCGCACTATCGGTCGTGGCGACCACGGATCCGGACGCGTGTCCACTGTTCAAACTTTACTCTCGCGTGGACCGCTCGACGTTTCGTGACGATCTTTGCGTTCTCAGTGAAAACGGTTATGTAGTGATCGAAAGACGCACCCCGCTACTGCCCTCCCGGGGCTTCTACTCGATTGTGATACAGTCTAACTAGCTACTTGTTTAGTCTCGAGCCTGCGAGCGATGATTAGTAAATTCTATGTTTAATAGCACTGCCGCTAAAGTGATGCAAAATTACCTCAATATATTTTAAATGGCAGACGGTTATGTCGGTGTGCGATTTTAAATGTGAAATTTGTTTGTAATATTTTATCCAGTCTTCCATCACCACTCTGACACTGGAGCCGGTTGAGAAGGTGCGGCCGTCCCGCGGGACGGACCCCTCACGGGCGTTCCGTTGCGTCCCACGGGACGGCGCGCCGGGCCCCCTCTACTAGAATAGGATCTCCGCGCGACTTCGTCCATTACTTAGCTACACTTAGGTACTTGTACATTGTGTATAGACTATTGTCTTATGTATGACTCGACACTTGCCCGGCCGTATGTATTCGCAGATTCCTCGCTAAATATTTCCGCCGAGCTCGCTTGCAGCCGACGGGCGCGAGGGAAGCAGCGGGTCGATGACTGTCTCCCAACTATTGGACTCGAGCTCGTAGGCGTATCTAGTTGCGGTGTCGTCCCGCTGGTTCCCTCTATTCTGTGTCGATGTGAATTATGACTTATGACACGTGCGCAGCGACGCGCCACGCTATATTGTGTTAATACAATTTTGTAAGATTTATTTTGTAAAGCTTCGCTTCGGATTTCGCTGCCACATTCACGTCAGTTAGCATTACGCGTAGTTGAAATTATTATCGTTTCTTGTAAATAGTTCGTCGCATTCAGTTTATGTATAGTTAGTACGTCGGCGCCGCGCAGCGAAGTCCGGAACGCATGGAATCGCAACTTTTCTATACTCGACGAAATTCGGATCTAGAATATTGAACTGTTTAAAACAATAATTATAAATATAGCATAAGCCGGATAAATGATTCAATGGTAAATTATATACATATGTAAAAGTGTATGGTTATTTGTAAACACTGTGCATTTGTAATTATACAGAAACTAGACGTAAGTTTACTATAGAGATTTCTTTTGTTAAGTTAGCTCGGCCGACGTGGCCCGTTATAAATATTGAAGGCGAGTGCGAAAGTGACAGGGTGCATGGAGCGTGTGTGGTGCGACTGTTGAGCGTGCGCGGTGCGTGTGCGGTGCGTGTGCAGTGCGTGTGCAGTGCGTATGCGGTGCGTGCGTGGAGCGAGTGCGGTCCGGGAGCGCGGCCGCGGCCGGCGCGCGACGTCACGCAGTTTGATTTGCGACAGATCCCACACGGTTGCGTTTTTAAACGACTCGCTACTCTCTCGCCTTTATATAGAGCCAGATCACAGCTTCATTTCCCCTTTTATTGTATAATATCATCATAAAAAAGCGGTTCCAATCGAAGACTATGAATTCTGTACAATATTAAATATCATTGATTTGTTTTCATTGTACCCGAATCTCGTGATTATTCATTATGCTTGTATAATATGCTTCTTCATAGCCACATGACATTGTAATTTAGAAGATCACCCGGCTAGCCCCACGCTTGGCGGGCGTTTAAAAACGCAAGCGTTATATATTTGTAAATGTTTTCGAGTTTACTTGTAAAATAAAAACGACTGATTAAATTTATTTGAGTGCGCGCGCCTGCGACGGCCGCCGCGCCGGCGGGCACCACATTGTGATTTCTTTATAAAACTGTAATGTATTTGTAAGTAGCCGAAAAGAAAACATAATCCTTGTAAGTCCGAACATAAGCGAAAACAAAGTTTTGGGAGGACAAATCAATAAATAAGATGCAAATCTAGTTTTTCTGTTTTATTTTCTCATCGAATAAAATTACCACTTACGACCCACTACTACCAGACTTACTCCTACGGAATGTCCGGATGGGCATGAGGAATACTACTTACTTCAAGTCTAGTAGTTTTCGAGGTCTTTTGAGTTCCACCATAACCAGGTTGGACTGAAAAGGACTCGTATCCAGTGCCGTAAAAAATATTAAATTAAAAAAACTACTGGCGTTTCATGACAATTCATGGTGCTGTATATGCGACGATTGACACTTTCTAGCTCATCAGCTTATCGTTCCATGATACAGTTAGATGAAAAAAAACTTATTTGTACACACTTGTAAAAATTACAGCTCGGAACAACCTGTTAAAACAAATTAAGTAAATAAAATAACTGTTAAAAAGCCGTTTGATGGGTATCTATTATTTACACATAAAATTGGATAAACTTCATTTTTCAATTAAGGAATAAATTAGCAAATGAGTATTAATAACACTGCGATGAGTTGTCGACATCTTGGAAATTTCTCGAATAAACTCTCTTATGAAATAGGTTACAAGTTATTTCGTTGTATAATCACAGAGAAGAATAGGAACGCATAAACGAAGAGCAGTATTTAATAATTTACCTCACAAGCTCAATTAATACCACCTAAAGGTTTCTGCTAACCTGGTACCGTGAGTTATTTGACTTACCCACCGTTGACAAAAACAGTAATTGACATTTCAAACTGGATAAGTCCTAAAGTTTTCTGCTAGCCTAGTACCAACTTTTTATCTTTGCGGATTTTCCACAGTTATGTGCATCACTTACTAAACACCGGTGACATGTAATCCTGTCCATTAGTCACGGATAAAAAATACCATTTTCTATTTCGAACTATCTACTAGGGGAATATGACATGCGTAACGATAAGAGAAAAAGGGTCAACGATAGTACGGTTGGGTTTGATAGTTCCAAGGAAGAAATGAGAGGGACGATCTTCACTCTGATTGGCCGATTATTTGCAGGAAGTCAAAATAAATACTGAGTCATTAAGATACATTCAACAAACAAATATTAACAGAAAACTCGCTAATAAAAATATCTAAAATCAGGAATTTCTTTTATATGGGTATCAGGAATTTCTTGTTCGTATGGATAACAGCTTGTTACAAGTTAGGTATGTTATTAGGGGCTGTATTCATATTCGGGTTTCTGTATATAGGTATTCTATTAAATAAAAGTAAATTGTAGACATAAATAGTGTAAAACTAATTTTAATGAAGACAACGATTAATTAGTGTCTGAAGAAGAAACTATTGTTGTAGTTTTTATTTTCCCGCGCAAACGTAATACCACAGATACACAATACGCATACTGCCATAGCTGTATGCGCGATGTTAATGCTAGTATAAGTATTAACACAAGTAAAACAATGCAATTATGTTGTAATAATTTATTATCAACATCCACAATACATCTCGCGTAACAAAACATCACATATATGTACACTCTCTCTTCATGTGGCGGTAACTTTGGTACAAGTACCCAACTGTAAAACATCAATAAAATATTTATGTATGACTGATACCAACTATTACTTAGCGGACCCACCTCATGGCAAACGGCAATTGACTATGTACGGAATAGAAACATATCATTTAATGCCTGTAGTACCTTTAAGGCAATGAATTTCCGGAAGATTCTGATATTATACCTCCATATCGAATGATTTTACTTATGTATCTCAACCTTCAACCAAAAAACAGCTTACAAAGATGCGTGCTGGCAGCAATAGGTGAGACTCAGATATCCACGCAAACGGCTTTGTAACTTAGGTTTTTAAATAAAATTCAATTTCCTAAGCATTTTTACATAATAGTAAAAAGGCGAAAAATTATGAACTTCACAAAACTGGGGCCCGATATAATATCTGACATCAGTCAACACAAAACTCCTATTTACTCTGTAGAATAAACAAATAAACTGTACAAATAAATAACATAAATATAAATAATAAGTATCTAAAAGTTTGTTACAGTTAAATAATTATTAGTAGTTACAAATTTGCATCATGTTACACTTATGTACCATCGCTACCATACTCCAGGCCGTAACATAACCTACATAAGAATTTCATAGAGGACGCCACTTTTGCATTGAGAAATCGCACTTACATAACGACACTGTACTTAAAATAAAACATAATTTGATAACACTTTAAAAAATATACTCCCAAACATTTCAATTTTAAAGTTATATCATTTGAGATTTTATATACAGGATTTAATTGCATGAGTATTCTACCTTGTCTGATATACCATTTACAAATCACCCTGTATAACTAGCTCTATTCCACAGCGCTGCTCATGTAAAATCTCATGCAATTCAACCTTGATTGGTATACCATTTACAACTCACCCTGTATAACTCTCTCTATGCTCTACTCCACGTTATGTAGAATACAGAGTACTCGCTAATAATGTAAGTGCAGATAAAAAATGAATTATTTATGAGTTTTGTTATAACAAACAAAAAATCTCTTTAAAATATTGTTTTGATGAAATAAAAAAACGTATATATTTACAATATTCTTATACATATACAAGTTTATCATTAATATATCATTCATTAACAAGCAGCGCCCTCTACCACCATTTATTGTCCAAAACTGGCCTGGTTGTTATAATTTACTATTTACTTCTTCACGAATTCTTCACCAGTCTTAATGTTCTTCACGAGCTCGGGGATGGCGGCCTTCAGGAGCTGTTGCTCGTACTCGTTCAGTTGGCCGTAGCCGAGGTTCTTCTCCACTCCGTTCTTCCCCAGGAGGACAGGGTTCGCGAAGTACGTCGCCTCGGTGAGATCCGATTTGATGTAAGCGCATTCAACTACGTTAGCATCACCCTGGTGGAGAAATTAAATTGTTATAAATGTGTAATTATACATACACATACATATAATTTGTCTATCAGATCATTAAGTATTTATTTATAAATAGTATTTATATGTATTATTTTTTATTGAAATCTATATATATTTTGCCTTATATATTTTTGTGACTTGTCTCATTTATATTAGTGCCCTACCAACAATATTTCTCTGCACCACGTTGCCTGGTAGATAACGCCGCGAGGTGTTAAGTTATTGTGAAGTTAAATAAATCAATATGAGACACAGTTACCTAGTTACTCCAATATATCAGTAATATTGCAATTAAAAGGCCAGTGACACAAACTAAATACTAGTAATAATATTAGATACACTATTGTATTGGGTTTAGGCCTGTGATAATAGTTGTGTAAATAAATAAATATTGTCTACTAAGCACTGCACAAAACATGTCCTTACATTTTACTATTGTTATTCATATATATTGAGCAACCCCTATTACAAACAAAACGATTACTTAAATGATAAACCTGCATGGCAATAGTTGTTATGTCCAGGATTTTCATTTAATGTTAGATATAAACACATTTGAATTTTTCGAATTATTCTATTACAGTTTAAGATCTGACATCTAAATAAAGAATATGAGTTTTACCTTCAATCCCCTGAGGACAGCGTCTGCGAGGCGCGCACCAGCAAACGCCATGGAGAGAGTGGCGGAGCCGCCTCCAGCCTTCGCCTTAACCACCTACAAAAAAACATGTTTTTTAACATTCAATTGTTAGAAATACTTTTTTTATAAATACGTATGTAACCTATATAGGAAATACCCAGACCCATACTAATAATCAAGTGTGTATTTGTACTTAATATACACTGAGCCATCTAGTCTCAAGCATTATTAGAAATAATTAAAAACATTTTTTTTAAAGACATGTATTACATAGAAAACACTCAGACTAATGGCCATGAATACAAATGTTTGTACCACGCGAGGAATCGAACCCGTGACCATTAAGACAGTGTTCTAAACCGCTGGATCAAAAAAGCCGAATAAAACAAGCAGTATATTTTGAGCACCTGTATATAAACTCACCTCAGTGCCAGCCTCCTGTATCCTCTCTGTGAGTGCCTTAATCTTGGCCTGGTCATTAAGCTTCACTTGTGGCTGGCTCTGACTCAGAACTGGAATGATAGTGACTCCGGAGTGACCACCGATGACTGGAATGGTCACCGAGCGGGGGTCAACGCCGTTGATCTCTCCGATGAAGGCAGCTGCGCGTACCACGTCGAGGGTGGTGACGCCCAATACGCGGCGAGGGTCGTACACTCCAGCCTGGAATATAAATAATCTTTAGTCAAATAATATATTACAATAATTATTAATTTATTTACCAAATTGTTTCACATGTTCACTGTAGGAACCCGAATATCAGTTGGTAGTTTGTATTCACACACAAACTTCAAAATGTAAACTAACAACAAAATTTCTTAAAAGAGAAACACGCAAGTTTCTTTCAAATTCAAAAATCATTTATTCATGTAGGACATTTTAGCCGCTTATGAATGTCTCGTTCTTCTTGTGATGCGACAGCTTCCAAATGAGCGGTAGATAAAAAAAAATGTGATGACTATTAAAAAGTGCTTCAATGTACGTTTATTTCAATAAATGATTTTCTATTCCATTCTACTCAATTTTCATGTAAAATACATAGGTCTAAATGTACGGAAAATTTACTAATATTAGTTAAAAGTAATAGATAAATATTATGGAAATATTTATTGAAGGCCATTCTAATATAGTGCATTGCTAGTAATGGAGGCAAGGTCTAATAATCCTTTCCCCCCTTGGTTTCCAGAAGTTTATCCATTCTTATGGTATAGGTGATGGTATACGGATAATCTACTTCGATATATAATCGCATTTAATAATCATCGCGCAAAGACACCGGCAGAAGTTACTAATAATAATAATCTCATGACAATACACACAGCGCCTTCTAGACCCAAGTTAAGTTAATTAAAGCTTGTGTTATGGGTAATAGACAACTGACACAAATACACAGATATTTTTTTCGTAAATATATAAATAGAAAACTCCCAGACCGATACAAACAATCAGTAATGAATACAAATGTTTGTGCCATGTGAGGTTCGAACCTGCGACCGTCAGAAGTAAGGCGGTGTGCTAAACCGATAGACCACCGAGGCCGTCAAAAACTACTACAACGATATATTTAATTTATGGCCACATATCAAAATTATACCTAATGTAGATACAACAGTGCATATGACTTTGTAACTTCCATTGCTATCTGTTTGGAATTTGGCACAGCAGTCTATCACCCAAGGTGAGTTAAAATCGAATAGGGCCAAATGCGTACACGATACTGCTATTTGTTGTATTACAAAGTCACTTTGTTCAAAGTCGTCTGCCTACGTGAGTGTTATAATTGTAAAAATCCCGTTAGCTACCGTTATTTAACCGTATGTATGGTTGGCTACTGATAACATGCGGTTATTAACGGTTAATTATCCGACTGTGACACAGAAAAAGTGTAAAAATATGTTTCTTTATTGTGTAGATTTTTTCCAATATAGGAATATATCTGGTCTGAATGATGAAACACCTACATCATAAGATTTCATACGTGTTCATTAAAATAGTCCACTCATCTATAATACCTAGAATTTAGAAGATCTAGTTTTTGGAGTTTCTAATTGAGCCTTCTCTTTTAAAGTCAATTTGCCTTTTGTTTGTGGTCATTCTTTTTGGCCCATAGCTACTGAAAGTACATTCATACTTGATATGAAATGCAGTTAATTAACCGTTAATAATAAAAAATGCATTTTTAACTGCTTCATCAGTTCGAAATCGTTAATAACCGGACTCTCATCTACAGAGGGTACCTACCTCTGTTTCACCTACTTGAGCAGCCAAGAAGCTGAAGCAAATTGTTTCAAATACGGAGTTTCGTTTTAATGGCGAGATATGACAGTAAAATTACAGTACACCGAAGTACGACAATTGCTTCCCGGAATGGATTCATTAGGGATGAAGGTATCACATGAAGACGTGATGTCCGCGTGCTCTTCATGTATATCTCGTACTATTAGGTTCGCCGTAAGCTATATTCTCTTCTAGATACATAAATAAAACCTAACGTATTATGTTTTCCGTTCAGTACTAGTTATCTATAGATCTCAATATCTTATGTCAGAAAGTTACTTAATACAGTGTATGTACAAGGCTTCCACAATAATCCTTATCAAGTGATAACATTCAATCAGAACCCAGTCTTTATCAGCTATGACAATATATCTATTTTTTATCTCTACAAAACATTGTAATATATTGTACAATATGTGGAGTTTATTACAACTAGAATGGTAAACAATCTGATAGTTTACGGATGGTCGAAAGTGGATTTTTTTGTATTCTAATACTGTTGAGTTGGGGGGAAGGGAATTGTTAGTACTGTGGATTTATAACCCCATTGCTAGCAATGTACCATGTCAGGTTGACCTCCAAGCGGTTCCCCATGGAAAACATTGTTAAATGTCTGGTGAATTTGCCATAATATCTAACCTGACCTCATGCTCATATTATCATCCTCCATAGGTGCCCCGCCAGTAAACCGTCAGCGCAGTCGGGTGCACTGTTCCATTATCATCCATAAGAAAAAAAATACTGTTGACTTTATTCCAACTAGAATGGTAAACAATCTGCAAGCCTATGGATGATAGAAGGTGGTTTTTTTCCATTTGAATACTGTTGGTCGCTGTCCTTGACAGTTTCACCAGACGAAAATGGGGGCCAATGCTCTGTACTATCCATATTATTAGTATTCCAAACTCGGACGTTGAACTACCTCAGTTTTACAAATTTGTTATAGGATCTCCGTATACCTGTAGGTGTGCAGAGGTCCAATAATGATTTGCATGTATTAAACATGTACCTCTGGAAAAATTATCTAAATTATAGTGAATACTGTATCAAAATCAGTTATGTGATTTACAGCAAGTTGAGTGATTTCGAAAAGTTAGAATACAGACGAAATTAGCGAATTTGTATAAAACGTAGTATAAAAACAGTCGCCTTGGATGTATGTATTTTGCTTCGTTTATATTTTTTAAATTACGCAACGTATTTTAAAGAAGTTTTCAACAATAGATAGAGTGATTCAATCATCATTGCAGCCCGGAAGACGTCCACTGCTGGACATAGGCCTCCCCCAAAGATCTCCACGACGATCGGTCCTGCGCTGCTCGCATCCAATGCCAATCAATCTAATCCAAGAGTATAGTACAAGACAAAAAATTTGTAATCCACCTATTCGAAACCGGGGTGGCTCATAGTTCGAAATATATTCGAAATTATTTACCACTTAACAATACCACGCGTGCAAAGATACAGGTAATAGGTATTTAAGAAAAATATACATAATTCATTATTCACATTCTCACTGTAATAAGGAAAAATATTTATATGTACTATGAGTTAGCAACACGGCGAGTAGGCACCAAATAGGGATGTCAACCGTACTAGTAACCTGGTACAAATTCGCGATTTTTGACTTTTTGTACGTGGACTAAGTACTGAGATGTAATTGATGATAATGGAATGATGCACCCGCCTGCGCTAATAGCTTACGCTGGCGGGGCATCAGTGGAGGATGATAAGATGACCATGAAACCAGGTCAGCTAACCCAAAGTGACAAGTTCACCAGGAACTTATCACGATAGTTCCCAAGTCATAGTCAACCATCATGATAAGTTTTTGTCACTTTAACCTCCTTTGGAGGTTACGCTGGCGGGGATAATAAGATGAGCTCATCTCATGGTCAGGTCAGTTGGCCCTTCATGACACATTCACGGTGAATTAATCATGATGGTTTCCAAAGGAAACCGTGTGGGTAACCTGACATGGTACTTTGGGTTTGGTGGGTTGGGGTACATTAGCAATGAGTTCATTAGTCCATATTATTAACAACCCCATTCCCACCAATTCTTTACGAAGAGAGATATTTAAAAAAAAAAAAAAATTATAGTGTACTAGACCGCTGGACGACCTCGGTGGTCCAGCGGACTGCTTTACGACCGATGGTCGCGGGTTCGATTCCTCGCACGGCTCAAACATTTGTATTCATGAGTATGATAGTTTATATCGGTCTGGGTGTTTTCTATATATAATATGTATGTATTTACAAAAAAAAAATATCTATGTAATTGTATCAGTTATCTAGTACCCATAACACAAGCTTTAGCTAGCTTAACTTGGGTCTAGATGGCGCTGTGTGAATTGTCCTGAGATTATTATTATTATTATTATTATTATTTATTTAAACTTTCATAACTTTACAGTTTGATGCAGTCCTGACTCCAAAACTAGCGTGAGCTGTATATCAGCTGTATATATTTGAGGTAATGTACGAGATTTCATCACGTTTTTTTTTTCATCCGAGTTTGTGTTTTGAGATTTTCAACAATGGTAATACAAGAAATTTGTATGTCATATTTGCCGCACGTGACACCCCTGGTGTTTCAGGCGTCTATAGGCACGGTAACCGTTTAACATCAGATTGGCCGTATGCTTGTTTCCCACTATCGTAGTAAAAAAAAAAGATGTAAATGTAGCTTACCCGCGACTTCTTCCGCGTGGAATTTAACTTTATTTATCTAAAATAACAGTACCCTAAGTTACTCCTTATTACATCAGCTTCCTGCCAAAAAAAAGTCCCGTCAAAATCGGTCCAGCCAGACAAAAATTGAAATAAATGTTATTTTGGAGTATGTACCATATTTATATTCATATGCATGTAGTAAAAAACGGTTATTTCAATATTACAAACAGACATTCCAATTTTATTTATATGTATAGATAATAATTTTGTAGCCTAATGAGTATTACCTCACCACTGTAGCGTTATGTATGATGTGATGAGGTGTCGCTGTTTAATTTGTTTTATTTCCTGTAGTATCTAGGTACTGAGTATATAGGTGTAATAATTGTACTACATTAGTAAGTTTATTTAATAGTGTGGCAAAATTGCCAGTATACGATATCGTTTCAATCTAATATTAGGTAATTAAAAAAAAACACCTCAAAAATGCGGTATAATAGAATACAATGAAAAAATAAATCAATCAAATGTATTGATGAACTAAAGAATTATTCACAAAATACATTCATTTAATAGAGAATGGCAACACTGTCCACACAGCAAGCAAAATTGCCAGTATACGATATCGTTTCAATCTAATATTAAGTAATTAAAAAAAAACAGCTCATGTAATAATTGTACTACATTAGTAAGTTTATTTAATAGTGTGCTACATGGCATAGTACGTGTACATTCAACGCGGAGTCGTAATCCGGACTGGCTTACACTCAAGAAAGAAATCTGTCATGTGGAGATGTGAGGATGGAAGGGTGCCGAGTGTTGACAGAAATATTATAAGTATATATAGTACAAAATTTTATCTATATTTTAATTTATAAACTTTTGCATACCTGGAACTGACGCATCATGATTGTGCTATGTAAAAATGTAGAGAATTATATCTGCAAATAAATCATTCACTCAATTTGCTCTCGACCAAACTGTGGACTTTGACCGTTATAGCGACTCTATATATAGATATTATATGCTTACTTTATACATAACAAGCTACACGTCCCAGCTTCGCACGAGCTTCCCGCTACATTTAGCATGTGTGAGACCACAAATATTCATTGTGGAAACAGCGGGCGTAGTTAGGTAACCGAGGGCCTTGGGGCAAATAACAAAATGGACTACATTACAGTTTTATTAAAACGCACATATCGCTATCTGTCAAATTGACAACACTGCCAACCCACAGAAAGAATTTAGGGAATTCCGAAGGTATAAATTTAAAAAAAAAAGTCAAAGACAACAGATGGACATACAGATTCTTAATGTGGCGACCTAGAATGGGAAGCAGAAGCGTAGGCAGACCAACTGCCAGATGGTCCGATGATATCAGGAAGACGGCAGGACCGACCTGGACAAGACACGCCACAGACAGACTGATGTGGACAATTATGCAAAAGGCATACGTCCAGCAGTGGACAAATATATGCTGAAAGAAAGAAAGAACTTTCAAAATTCTGTCAACTTAGTTGCCATGAGTAAAGTCGGGTTGTAACCTGTCATATTTATTTTGAAAATGGAAGAAATTTTAAAAAGTTCATTTCGATCGAGATTTTCTGGTAAGGGTTCGAGGATCCCCTGAGTTTCAGGGCCTAGGAGTACTGCCCCGCCTAGCCCCTAGATACGCCAGTGTGTTGAAACTTAAGTACCGTTACGACCTTCTCTAGTGGCGATATTCCGACCGTTATTTAGTTAACACGTGTTTCGCTTCTTCAGAATAAAATAAAATATTAAATCCATCAAGAAGTGAATTGGATTTCCGCAAAATGACACTTAATTCGATTAAATATAAAGTAATATTAATTAGATATAGAGACCACGCATTAAAAACAGAATATAAAATTAATACGGACACTATAACAACATATTATCAACTTCTTATCGAAATGGCAGGGGGATTAGTTTGTGAAAATAAATGATTTTGGCTCAATCAATCAATTGTAATCAATTGAGAATGGGCGTACAATTGTATGTTGATTGATAATGTGGAACATCTTTAAAATTTAAAGACTAAATAGATTTTTTGATGGATGATTTGATTTTTGTATGTTGATTGATAATGTGCACATCTTTAAAGTTTAAGGACTGCAATGCAGTAATAGTTTATTTGATGGATATGTGCCTACACTTGTAATATTTCTGTCGACACTTGAGTCCCTTCTATTACTTTACGTCTGCATTAAACATGGTAGTAAGCTTGTACGGATGAATAGCCATTTTTGAAGCTAGAACGATAAAACGTTTTCTTTAGCATTTTTGAGTTTTGTTTTTGTTTTTAGTTTAATATTTTATTTATAATTAATTATTAATTTTTAATATTTATAATTAATTATTTAATATTTTATTTGTTATTAAATATTTTTCCACGTTCACTATTCCAAGCGGAAGAAGTCGCGGACACAGCTGTATGTATATAAAACCTTTGGAACTGTTAAATAAATAAACATACAAAACTAGGTTTTCGTACTATTTTTATCACGATCGGATATTTTTTTGGTATGTGGTATTTTGTGGAATATAACATATTATTTTGCTATTAGTGAATTCAAAAATGAGTGCATTTTTGTAATCGTATATCTTTGAAGCTCATTTGAAAAAGCTGAGTTTTTAGGTGTTATTTTGCAGTAGCGGTGGTTAGGTTTCCACACTGAATATTGCGGTATCACACATACTAATAGTGCGGGAATTGAAATAATATAAACCCATTAAGTATATAGGTGTATGTATATATATATTTACACTAGCTGCCCCGCGTAACTTCGTCCGCATCACACTTACCTAACATTCATCATTAGGGGGTAAAAGGAGATTGTAATTGTAATCGTGTTGATTGAAAAGTAATGTGGACTGATGATCTTATTGCTAGCAATGTACCAGTCAGTGTACCAGAGTACCAGTCAATGTAGTGTCAGGTCGACGCAGTTCCCCCTGGAAACCATCGTGATAGATTCTTGGTGAAATTGTCACGATGGGCTAACTGACCTGACCTCATGCTGATCTTATCATCCTCCACTGGTGCCCCGCCAGCGTAAACCGTAAGCACTGGCGGGTCCACCATTCCATTATCATACTTAAAAACAAACATTTGTCATTATATTTCGCCCAATTTATATGTCTTTTAAAATTATAGCCTATGTATTACTGCAAAGTTTCATTAAAATCCGTTCAGTAGTTTTTGCGTGAAAGATTAACAAACATCCATCTATACTCACAAACTTTCCCGTTTGTAATAATAAGATTAATACAAAGTTAATTACTATTGGGAAACATATGCACAAACATGACGTCAATATCTTGTTTATATTATAATACACAATGTACACAGAGTGTACTGTTCCCAATTCAATGTACAGTCAGCTTGATATAAACCGGTGCGTGTATATGTAATTTCATAGTGTAATTTCATGTTCATTTCTCTTCTCCACTTACCTGTTTTCAGTTTATTCAATTTCGTGGATATGACTATGTATGTATGATACATACATCCATCATACATATTATATTGAATATACATATAAATAAAATTGGAGTGTCTGTTTATAATATTGAAATAACCATTTTTTACTACATGCATATGAATATGAATACGGTACAACAATAACATTTTTCACCATTTTTGTCTGTATGTTCGTTCCGGCTAATCTCTGAATAGGTTGGGCTGATTTTACCGGATTTTTTTGGCAGGTAGCTGATGTAATAAGGACTGACTTAGGCTACCTTTATTTTAGAAAAATAAAGTAAAATTCCGTACAGCTAGTATTGAATAAACTCCAACAGGTCAGTGGATAAGAATGTTACATCAAATTCACTTTAGTTACGTTTTACCTACATCACCTCACATTCAACCACTTAGTCACCTAATTTATCAGAAGGACTGTACATTAATTACAAGGGACTGAATACGTTATCTAATGATTTATATCAATATATATATTTATGAATAACAACGCTGTTGTCCATTTATTGATGTAATGTATACGGAACTTGCATGTTTGTAACATACTAGTAGTTACACGCGAATTCGCCTGCTATTTTTAATTATCTACATGGTAAATTAAGTTTAATTATATGTACATTTTATATGCTCTTTTTTTTCGTTTGTTGTTCATATTGTATTTTTTACATTGCACTGAATAAAATATTTTCTTTCTTTCTTCCTTTCTTTCTTTCTTTCTTTCTATTTTTATATAATATAATATAGGATAAAAAGCAATCCGATATATACGTTAGATCAGTGTTTCCCAACCTTTTTAGTGTCATGCTACACCTTAGCCTTTATAAAATTTTTCATATAATAAAAAAATTAAATTCACATTCCATATAACTTTAATAAAAATTCAATTTTAGAATTGCCCCCCTTAAGGGAGTTAACAATCAAATTGCCCAAGTGAGGCGTATGCCGTTGAGAAACAGTGTGAGATCAAGATCTAATCTTCACGTCAAATTTCATCAAAAAAAGATTATAATAAAAAATTTTTTTCGCATAAGTCACTAATGTCTTAAATGATTTTTTTTTTATTGCTAAAGAAGGATTTTTGTGGAAGGATAAGTCTAGATTATTTGTATTTAAAAATTAAATAACGTTTATATAATTTAAAAAATTTACAGGTGATAAAATAAACATAAGATAAATGTCGTTGCCCGATTTTGTTTAAAAAAAAAATGTCTGAAAACATGTTAACCCAATTCTAAATAACATTCCATCTTATAACATACCCAAAATCATTTATAAATAAAATAATTATTATTTACCACTTTTTTTTCTTTTTTATGGATGACAATGGAATTGTGCACCCGCCTGCGCTAACGGTCTACGCTGGCGGGGCACCAGTGGAGGATGATAAGATGAGCATGAGTTCAGACCAGTTAGCCCATCATGACAAATTCACCAAGAATTTATCACTATGGTTTCCAGGAGGAACCACATGGAGGTGGATCTGACATGGTACATTGCTAGCAATAAGATCATCAATCCACATTACTAACAATCCCCATTACCCATTATTTACCACTATACCTTACCTAACTAACATACTTATTTAACACTTACCTTCTTCAAGACCTCAGATGCGATGGGAACCATAGAGTTGACGGGGTTGGTGATGATGGCCACGATAGCTTTCGGTGAGTTCTGGGAGATGGAGATGGCCAGGTCTCGCACAATGGAAGCGTTTGTGTTGAACAGGTCATCGCGAGTCATGCCTGGCTTGCGGGGCACGCCGGCGGGGATGACCACCACATCGGCATCTAGGGTAGAAACGAAAATTAGCATTAGTGATAACATAATTCAATCGGGGGGGTGAGGAAGAAGACTATTAGTTATGTGTTATATTGTAAAATTATATGTGTTATATTGTAAAATAGCTACTCGCCCCGACTTCGCACATTGTACATCTGTTGTAAGTATAATGCTGACCATCGTAAGATTTGTTGTTTGTACAGTTTTATAGAATATGTCACTTTTAATATCTCAGTAATCTTATTTGTAATGTCAACATGATAATTTATCATTTTAATATATTTTAATATTTAATCTGCTCTCGCTTTTTCTTATTTACAAAAACATCTATTATATATATAAACCTTCCTCTTGAATCTCTCCATCTATTAAAAACAACCGCTTAAAAATCCATTGCATAGTTTTTAGTAGACTTTGTTTTATACTATGTAATGATGACAATTCTCATTGGAATTGTCATTAATAGGAGTTTTATAATAATGGAGAATATATTGTAAATGAAAATACATTATTAATATGTTTAAGACAAAAAATATATATATACAGGTACCTACGTAATTATGATTAAAAAAAAAAGAGTAATTTTTTTAATTATAATTACATAGGTACCTATATATTTTTTATTACAATATGTTATAGTGTATAATAATTTGATGTAGATATTATTTAACCCCTAGATTTATTTCAATTAAAGTGCCCACAGGTGACCTCCCGGTCTCAACATGTATATTTACTTTCGTTGCGGAGTAACCCACCGGTGGTCATGCAGTCTTTAACATGTTAACAACCCCCTTGCCACACTACTGAATGCAGTTTACAATGTTGTAAGACCTGCTTGTAACACTGCATTCTGCAAACAGATAAATTAAATGTACTAAAAATCATATTGCTAGCAATGTGGAAATGAGCATGAAGTCACTTCAGGTCAGTTAGCTCATCACGGCAAATAACCAGGATGGTTTCTATGGGAAGGTTGGAGGTTGACCTGCCATGATATATTGGTAGCAATAAGGTCATTAGTCCACATTACTAATAATCATCCACCCCCATAGTAACATAAAGTCATTAATTAAAGGGCAATCTCTGAATGTGATACTAAGCACAGTACAACTGATATCATTTTATGACTGACTATAGATGACTCTAGACTAAAAATAATTCTACCATGATAATATATATAGGAAAACATATAAACTTCATTGAGAGAATATATTTTAAGACAAAACTTCTATATGCATGACCTTGATCATTATCTATAAATAAAATATATTTGATAAGACACAAAATCATCCATAAAATGTTATTATGTAATAATCAATTCATATGAAGTCCATATATATATTTAAGTAATTGTTTTTACTAGTCTTTAGTACCTTTAATGGCTGCAGAGAGTTCCTCAGGACCTTTGTGACCAGAGACCTTGGCTGGGGTATTCATGTGAGAAAGGTCAACTCCAACTCCTGGGGTCACCGGCGCGATGTCGTAAAGCGCCAGCCGTGTCACCAGAGGGTTCTGCTTTAGGAGCAGGGCCAAAGGTTGACCGATACCTCCGGATGCGCCAGCGACCACGACTTTGAAATTCCTCTAAAACATATAAACTTTTAATAACTAGTAAAACATTTTAACAGTAGAAAATAATTATCATTCAACAGTTTTGTAAATCTAAATTGCTATAACTTTACACAAAGTGAACAATTAACTGCCATTAATTATTTTACTTACCTGACATGATGTGGAAAAATTCTTTGAGCCACTCTGGGCTACTGCAGATGAGACGGGCTTGAAAGCGCGGGAGAACATTTTTGGTATATTTTTTACGAGTCTCAGTAAATTAAATAAGTACTAAAAAAGTTCGCCTGACCTAGGCGACCTTTGCCTTCACAGTGTAAATGTAATTTCGATTAAAAACTTCTGTGCGAAAACGTGAACGAACGTATTAAAAATTGAAACTTGTACGCTACTGACTGACTGATGTAACTGATGCAACGCTGTCATTACATAGTGACATATGTTGTCAATCAACGGTCAGTCAAGTAATCAATTTGACATTTGACTGTAAATAAATATATATTGCAGTCAATAGTATCCATGTATTTATTACAATTTATTTACAAATTAATGAAAATTTAAAGATATTTAAATACTTAATAATTAGCATTATTAAAGATGAATGTAATACAAGCAGTGAAGATGTATATTACGAAGATGACGGAGGAAAGTGGGCCTGGAATGAAAGTAATACTTATGGATAGAGAAACGGTGAGTATAATTATTTTAACGTTATTTGTTGCTTTTACTTTCACTGTTTTTTATTTATCGTATATTTTTTCTATCGTATAGTATATAATTTATTATTAAAATATCATCCTCCACTGGTGCACCGCCAGCGTATTTTACGGTGCACTAATCCATTATCAACTAAAAAAAGGTTTGATGAGTGATTGATTTTTCTTAAAAAAGAACAACATGTATGTTTAATATAATCTTAAATATTATATTAAACATACATGTTGTTACTTTTATTTTTAGGTGGAACACAAAAGCCTAATTTCATAGCAAACTGTTTATTTTTAAAATAATATATGCCTGTGTTCATCCTCATGAATCACTACTTAATTATCTATAAATGACAGCCAGACATACACACATATTTTGAATGTGTCCTCATTGTCTTATTATTAATATTATAAATGCAAAAGCTTGTGACTATGGATGGATGTTTGTTACTCTTTCACACTAAAACTACTGATTTTGATGAAACTTTACAGTAATAGCTTATACATCAGAATGTACATGGGCTATAATTCAATTAGATATTATATAATTTGGGCGAAATATTATGATAAATGACAAGTAAGTGTGATGCAGACAAAATTACATGGGGCAGCTATAAAATATAAAGATGAATAAACTTAAAAAAAATATAGGTGATAGAATTTTTAAGATTTGTTGTCAATTTTCAGTAATAAAAATGTACAGAGATATTAGTATCATATCTGTATTCAACAAGGGCAGCATTACAGAAGACAATTAGTTTATAAAATGTTTTAATAAATGCTTTTTATTTGAATTTATGTATATTAAGATACAAATAAAAATTCTTAACTATCTAATAAATTAAGTTTGAATTCATTAATAAGTGGTAAACTTCACTAATTTTCAGACCAGCATTGTAAGTATGGTGTTCAGCCAATCAGAAATACTTCAGAAGGAAGTGTACCTGTTTGAGAGGATCGACAGTCACTCCAAATGGGATAATTTAAAGCACATGAAGTGCATCGCATTCTTGCGTCCAACATCTGAGAATATTGCACTGTTATCACGCGAGCTTAGATATCCAAAGTATGGAGTGTACTTTATATGTAAGTAGACACAATTTGTATACATTCCTGAGCTCAAAAAAAGTTATAAAGAATGCTAAGATTCTGGAAAATGGCTAGAGTTCCACTGACAAGACTGGGGCTCTTAAATTATGAATGTATCTTAGAAATTGCATAACTGATTAGAATGACGCTTTTACTGATGTTAACTATAATAATTTGTGTTTGTTTCTGTTGCATAATAATATTAACTATCATCCTGATATTGTATAACAAAGGGTTGGAGGAGTCACAAAATTCCTGTTATCAATGGTGAAATGTAGCAGTTTCCCACCTCTGGGAGTCTTAGATTTTGTAGAGCTACTTTTTAATTTAAATAATTTTACAAAAATTTTACTATTTTAATGTTCCCAGTTAAGACATAACTGATGTCACAGCTAGCTAAAAATAACTGAAATTGGTGTGGAGTAATTTATAAATGACTACTTATATTAATTAATTATACACATTGTAAAACACAGAATAATGTTATTGAATTGAGATATAAATATTCAGATTTCAGTAATGTGATATCTAAAGCGGATGTGAAGACACTCGCAGAGTGTGATGAGCAGGAGGCTGTGAGGGAAGTGCAGGAAGTGTTTGCGGATTACCTCGCAGTAGATCGACACCTGTTCTCATTCAATATTACGGGCTGTTTGCGTGGTAAGACATGTTCCAATCTATCCAAATTATTACGATGGGCTAACTGACCTGACCTCATGCTCATCTTATTATCCTCCATTGGTGCCCCGCCAGCGTAAACCATCAGCGCAGACGGGTGCAATATTCCACTTCATATCCACAAAAAAATACTTATTTTCGACCTTACAAAGCTGAGAAGAAGTATTTTTATCAAAAGTTAAGGTTTCTCACATTCCACAACCAACATGAGGACGTAGATCTCTGCGGCCACCGTTGGCAGCGCCTTTTCTAAAACTTGTTCAATATCATCAGGACGCATGTGGAACCAGCAGGAGCTCCAACGCTGTTCCCAAGGACTCCTCGCTCTACTCTTATCCCTCAAACGGCGGGCTGTGGTCCGGTACGAGGCGGCGTCGGAGCCCTGCGCGCGGCTCGCGGAACGAGTTCGAGATCTCCTGAGAAGAGAAGCTGTGCTGATAGATAATAATATCCCATTCAATGGGGATATACCAACTCCACAGTTGCTTATAATCGATAGGAGAGATGACCCAGTGACTCCCCTACTCAATCAGGTAGTTTATAATCTTAATTTTATTGCATGATGGACTTATATTACATACTCAAAGTGACTGACGTAGTGATCTATCAACGCATAGCCCAAACCACTAGACCGATCGGGCTGAAATTTGGCATGTAGGTAGATGTTATGACGTAGGCATCCGCTAAGAAAGGATTTTGATTAATTCTACCCCCAAAGGGATAAAATAGGGGATGAAAACTTGTATGAAACTTTGTCTATTTTAAACCAATCGGGCTGAGTCTTTGCATGCATAAAGCTACTATGATGTAGGCATCCCCTAAGAAAGGATTTTGATAAATTCCACCCCTAAGGGGATAGATTAACGCGAGCGAAGCCGCGGACAAAAGCTAGTTATTATATACATGTATGAAGCTGACATGTGAGTTAATTTTATGCAAGACTAAAGTAAAAAAAACCCGCCGTGTAGACTTTTTTTTTAGTTTAGTAGTCTTTATGTAAATTTAGTATTAATTAGGTAATTTTGTATTGTATAGGAGACGCTAACACGTAATAATAATATCTCTGTACAATTTAAAGACGCATTTTGTTTTTGTAAATGCATATATATTATACATAGAAAACACCCAGATACAAACAACCATACGCATGAATACAAACATTAACACCGTACGAGGAATCGAACCGCGGCCATAGGAAGTAAAGCGCTGTGCTAAACCACTAGACTACTCAGGTCGTCTACTTAAGTATGAAAATAATTTTATTTTGCATCCGATATTTACAATTTATATTATTTCCCCGACACATAAACTAAGTAGAACCTTCTCTTTCTGGTACCCTCTTTCAATTTACAATTATTAAAACTACAAATTACAAAAAGTTCCTCTCTTTCAATTTACAATTATTGTTATGTAATGACAAATTACAAAAAAACAATCAAATAAGTTATTATAACTTAAGCTTATCATCATTTACTTGCAGTGTGTGTGTGTATATGTATATGTGTGTGATAATGAGAGAGTGGTGGTTGTTCGTGTACAGTGGACGTACCAGGCGATGGTGCACGAGCTGCTGACCATCCACAACAACCGCGTGAGCCTGGCGCACGTGGCCGACGTGCCCGCAGACTTCCGCGAAGTGGTGCTGGCCTCCGAGCAGGACGAGTTCTACGCCAAGGTAACTATGGCTACACGGGTGGAGGCCTGGAGGGCCTGCTTAATGGGCAGCCTATAATATTTCAAATTGAAAAGCTTCCCAATTAAATGGAAGGGATTCAAGATGGGTGAATTTGGTGAGGCGACTATGTCTCAAAGTAACAAGCGAATTCAAAATAATTTCTGAAATATTCAAATTTTCATTTTTTAATGCAGAACCATCAAAAAATTAAAATAAATTATTTTGTCTAAAAAAATTATACCAATATTTTTTCGCTTTGGGGTATGTAAAGAGTTTACGTCCTTTTCTCAGACCAGATATATATACAAAATTTCATAACAATCGGTCAAGCAAAGAGTATTGTTGCAAACACTGTGACACGAGAATTTTATAGATGTTTATTTGTACAGAATTTATACTCGAACTTCGGTGAGATTGGACAAACGATGAAATCACTAATGGACGAGTTCCAGAAAAAGGCCAAGAGTCATCAGAAGGTGGAGAGCATTTCCGACATGAAGAACTTTGTGGAAACCTACCCGCTGTTCAAAGTAAGTTGATTTAGGAACCAGTAACTGCTCATCCCAACTTGCGGCTTTTTTGTGCAAATTCACTGCAATTCGTGCCACTTTTTCTTAATAAAATATGTACTTCGAATTGGAAGGTAGAGAACAAAATATTTATACAAAAAACTTGACGTTCATAAGCTACTAAAATGCCCTACATGAGTAAATTATTTTTTATTTGATTTTTGATTCGAATTGCACCAGCAAAGAAAATCTGGATGAATTGCGATCCTCCACCGTTTCTAATTTTACCAGATTGTAAAATCAGCTTCCAGCAATAGTACTTCCATACCGATACGATATAGAAAGGTTTCTAAGATTGAAGGTTCAAGATCTTATTCCTTCTTAAAATATTGAGCCCGCTGTTTATTTAGTATAGCATATTTATATAAAGTTCTTTTATTGTAAATATTTTTCAATGCACAATAATGAGTTATATTTTTATTTTTTGCTAAATAAATGTATATTATTAATTATTACTATTATTTAAGAATAAATGTATGAATAAAAAAGGCAGAAATTGAATCGTATAGAAAATAGATGAGGGGAAATGTAAAGACAATTGATACGAGATGCTGAATTTATGAAAATTATTATTGAAGGAATAATAGAAGAAAAGAGGGTGAGGTAGAACAAGGCACAGTTACATCAAACAGATTAAAGACAAAATTGGAGTCGTGTCGTATCAACATGGATGATGGAAGATCATGGAAAGTGGCCAGAGCTCCACCAACAGCGTGGCTCATGTATTGTTAGAAACATGCTTATAACTCGTCCGTTCCGTTCACACACTGCTCGTATAATGCTCTTTTTGTCCGAATCACAATTCATAGACAGCCATCTTTTGCCCCACTACTCACGAATAACAGTATAATGTATATATAACATATATTGTAACGTATATATAACATATATAACGTTTTTTAGTTATATATATATATATAGTTATATAACGTTGTTTAGTTTTAGTTTAGTCTAATATTTGTATATATGTTATTTATATAATTAATGTTAAGCCACCATCAAGTATTTCTGCACTTCCTGAAGGTTGACTGGTAGAGAATGCCTATAGCATTAAGTCCGCCGTTTGTACCATAATTTACTGGTCAATAAAGTTTAAATAAATAAATATATAACGTTATAATTAACGTTGCAGAAAATGTCTGGCACGGTGACGAAGCACGTGACGGTGGTGGGCGAGCTGTCGGCGGCTGTCGCCACCCACCACCTGCTCGAGGTCTCCGAGCTGGAGCAGGAGATCGCCTGCCAGAGTGACCACTCCAAGCATTTGCAGGTACCTGCTATACATCTAATATATTAAAAAAAACGCTGTTGTGTTAATTATTTTGTAACTTTGTTAAGTAGAGACGAAAGAAAATATAAGAGCAACACGCAGGTTTCTTGCTCGTTGTTATTGTGATAAGATAGCTACCCGAATGAGCGGTAGATTAAAAAAAAATTATGACTGTTGTGTATACTTTTGTATAAAAGTTCTTAAACTTAGATATAGAATAGAATAGACAATTTTTTATTCAAATAAACTTTTATTTTGGATAAAAAATTGTTTGGTTAAAAAAGAGATATGAGAATATCTACTATTGGAGGAACATTATCAATTTAAAGAATCCAAAAGAATGATATCTGAATGTTGGATATTATGTTGAGATACTAATATATACAGTGGACCCGCGGTAATCCGGCCCCCTTGTAATCCGACATGGTCTATTATTTATTATTGAATATTTTTTTGACAATCGTCGCTAATACATGATTGAACAAGTTTGAATTTGTAGGAATCACCACTGTTGTATTCGACGCGTATGGGTTTTGTTTGGTTTGATTATGATTGTGATTATATGTGATGAAGATAGCAGTGCAGTATAGCATGTGTTCATTGTTTACTGTTTATTCAGCTTGGAAGCGAAAGCACAAAACACTGACAATTAAAGAAAATGTGATATTTTAGACTGCCTAAATCATAACGAATCTTTTAGTAGTTGACATACATAATGAAGTATGATCTATGATCATATGTAATGATCTTAGGCAACACTCTATAATCGGACAAATTCGATGGTCCGACACTGCCCTGCAAAACGTTTGTCGGATAACCAGGGGTCCACTGTATTAGTATTTTTTTATTTGATTATATGTAGATTTTAGAACTAATCATATGTAGATTAATTTAGTTGGCTATTATTTATAATAGAAAATATTTAAATAATGAAAATAGTTATTCACGCGGTCGTATCAATGCACTCTGGCCCGTAGCTTGCTATACTCCCGCCCCCTTCATCGCTGCCCGCGACCCTTCTCCACCCGTCGTAGTGGTGTAGACATATAATCCTAATATGCTTTTATTAAGCAGTATAATAACTAGATCGAATATGTAATAAAAAATTGTAAACAAGCAAAAATCAATCTTATCACCAGCGTCTGAAGTCCCTGATCTCCAACGAGTCGATCCGCCACCACGATGCCGCGAAACTGGTCGCGCTATACGCGCTGCGCTACGAGAAGCACGCCAGCAACGCGCTGCCCGCGCTCACAGACGCGCTCAAGAGTCGCGGGTGCCCGGAGCCGTTGGTGAAGGCAGTCGTCAACGTGCTCGAGTACGGCGGGGCACACGCCAGGCAGAGCGACCTGTTCGGACTGCAGGACGCTGCTAAGATTACCAAGAGACTGTTCAAGGTACGCTCCATATCTAGACACGCGGTAGCGTGTCAAGCCGAGTTTCAAGAGAACTGGCGAGCAGCACCGTGTGTATATTTACACGAACCATTTGGACACACTTTTGACCCCCTCATAACTCAAAAACTCTTTCACATAAACCTGTCAAATTTGAATAGTTATAAATAAGTACCTCGTATAATTTATGTACAAAATGTAATGATATCCCATCAAAAACATAAATGTGAAATGATAGCCGAGTTTAATATTATGATATATGCCTTGATTGTTGACTTCTACGACAAAAGAGGTGAGATCTAAATGGGTGCCAAGTTCAATGGTCTGTCCTGAAATGTATTTATAACAATATAAAATATAATTTCTTCTTATAACTTAGGATAATTAATATACTGTAGCCTAAGGTCTAACTTGGCTAGTTTTCATATAACTAGTTTTTATATATATCATAATATTAAACTCGGCTATCATTTCACATTTATGTTTTTGATGGGATATAGTAAATACAGTAGAATCCGGATAAAACGACCTATTTATAGATCGACCTAGGATTTATTTTTGTAAAAAAAAACTGTTCTCTGTCACATAACTGTAGAGATTATAACATTAGGTTATGGTATGGTAGATTTGATATATCATAAGAATCTGTAATAGACCTACATGAATAAAGATATTTTGAATTGTTTTTAGATAATAATGGAATTTATAACATTAGTAAGATTATTCGGGTGAAGCAAACAACGATAACAAACCGATGATTATTCTGAGGACGGATCCACATCCGTCCTCAGCCCACGCTCGTGGGGGCCCGTGCTTTGTTGAAGCAAAATAATATTAACGAAACACAACAAATATTGCGTTCTTCACGATGTATTTATATATTAAACTATTTAGAGTCGTGTAGTTCTCTTATTATTATATTTATTTTCAGGGTCTCAACGGCGTGGAAAATATATACACCCAACACACGCCACTACTCAAAGACACGCTTGAAGATCTAATAAAGGGGAAATTAAGGGAGAATCTCTACCCCACCCTTGGGGGAGACGACAGTGGCTACGGCCGGCGGCCGCAGGACATCATCGTATTCATAGTTGGTGGCGCCACATATGAGGAAGCGTTATGTGTTCACCAGATCAACCAGGCGTACCCTGGAGTCAAAGTGGTACTAGGCGGCACTACAGTCCACAATTCCACGTCGTTTCTGGAAGAAGTGAAGGCAGCTATGCAGGGTGTGCATAGAACGCACACCAGACACATTAAAAATGTTTAATTCATAATTGTGAATTAGCTGTATTAGAATGAATTTAATGAGATATCTATTTACGTCGTAAATTATCACAAAATACTATATTTATTATAACCTATATGAATAATATTTATTCTAATATTATAAACAGATAGAGAGAGAGCGCGTAGATTTTATTATAAAGAATAATTGCACCTATTTAAATAATCCGGTCGCACATGGAATACTGTTCTCATCTCTGGGCGCGAGCACCACAATACCAGCTACTTCCATTTGACCGCATTCAGAACCGAGCAGCCAGAATCATTGGTAATCAACGTCTATGTGACAGACTCGACCCATTGGCTTTGCGGCGAGATATTGCATCTCTGTGCATTTTCTACCGCATATATCACGGGGAGAGTTCTGAGGAATTGTTCGGATTAATACCAGCTGCTGAGTTTCACCTGCGTACCACCCGCCAGAAACTGAAATACCATCCTGATCATCTTGATGAATGGCGGTGCGGTTTTCTAGAAACTTTTTGCCTCGCACAACCACATTTTGGAATCACCTTCCAGCAATGGTATTTCCGAACCGATACGATATTGAAACCTTCAAGAAAAGAGCTTATTCCTTTTTAAACGGCCGACAACGTACTTGCAATTCCCCTGCAGGTGGTGTTGCGGGTGCTCATGGGCGGCGGTAATCACTTACCATCAGGTGAGCCGCATGCTCGTTTGTCCCCTGTATTATAAAAAAAAATTCTTACATCGTTATTTATGAGTGGATATTTGGACGCTGTTACAAATGTCCCGGTCACAGGTCGACTGCAGATGGTGGATGCAAACAATCTACGAGCAGACAAATTTGTCTACCCGCTTTTACTTTTTAAAACTACACCGTCACAATTTCCACTTGTAAACATTAATAGCCTCGACAAAACACTGTCTCCTTCCATTACTTTACGTCTCCACATAATGTAGATTTAAATTCAGTGTATAACAGTCCTAATTACGACTCCGCGTTAAATGCTCGCGATTCTTAAGCTATTGAGTATGCTTATTAATGTAAAAAATTAAAAATAAGGGATGATACCACCACGCTACAACGCTATATCGATTCGACGTTTTGGAGTCCAGTAGAAACCGGATATAACGACGAATTGATTAAGACTAAATGGCAGAATGCTCACTGAATCAATGTAATAACTGTATATAGTGAATTATTATAATAATAGATATATAATATTATAACTATCTGGATATATTGTTCATATTTTCTAATCCCTTGAATGTTGTATGGTTTCTATTATGTAAATAATTAGTTTAATTTTTAAGGATACTGATTATGATGTAGACCTCTAGACTTGATTCTAATTTAATTAAAATAGTGTTTATCAGCGAAAAGTTTTATCTTATATGCTAAAAAGTGTTTGCAAACATGAGTGCTTTTCTATGAATCTATACATATAAATAAAATTGGAGTGTCTGTTTGTAATATTGAAATAACCGTTTTTTACTACATGCATATGAATATAAATACAGTACATATAGCAAAATAATTTTTTTGTGTCCGTTTGTTCTGGCTAATTTCTGAAATGGCTGGACCGATTTTGACGGGACTTTTTTATGCAGATAGATGTAATAAGGAGTAACTTAGGCTACTTTTATTTTAGAAAAATAAAATAAAATTTCACGCTGACGAAGTCACGGGAACAGCTAGTTATTTACTAGCTGTTCCCGCATAAAAATGCAAGACGAAATTAAGCTTTGACACACAGAACAAGTTTTTACGTAATCATCAATAAGTATTGAAAACTATAGTAAATGGGGCAGTCAGAGGCATTTGTCTACAGTTGGTGAATTACTTTAATTTATTTACAAAATAAATTATTTTGTCTAGTAAGAGTTTAGTAGTTTATGTACCAAAGATCACAATTTTTCATTTTTATATTGATAGTCTAGATATTAAATATAACAAAACTTGTCTATGATAGGAATTATGCAAAGAACCTTTATGTCAATAACATATATGCCGTGTAGTTACTATATTTCGTATAAAGAGTGTGAAAAATTCATGAAATGTTGTTTCGTTTAAATTATCGTCAATTGTATTTTGTTTTCTGTGATCTTTACATAGATTCGTCTAATTTTAACTAAGTTATACTATTTGTGATTATTATTTATAACATTCCTAATAAATAAACTCGTTAATTTAACTTTTTTTATTTATATATTTTTGAGTGCCTGAACCAGACGAAGTCTGGCCAATATAGTTTAAAAAATTATTTGTCAGCATATCCTCACGGCAGATTTTCGGAGTTACTAAACAGAACCCAGAGTTCATAAAAGAATTGACGAAAAATGACTTAAGATAAGAGGTTAAAGCGGAAGCAAGATGCTTACCAGCGAAATCTATACATCTTCTAAAACAGTGATTCCCAAAATGGTCTGTCTGTATCGACCTCCAGGGGTCTATGACAAACTGCAAGGGGTCTACGACAGCGGTCATCTTGTTGCTTTTAGTTTGTTTTTAACACTAAACTTTACTACAGTTAGAAATTTACAAAAAATCAATACCAGGTAAGAATGAGGAGTCTACCCAAAACCAAAAATATGGCAAGAAGGGGTCTACGACAAAAGTTTGAGAACTTCTGTTCTAAAAGATCTTGGCCTGTCGAGAACGGCAGTAGGTTTTGTATTAATAATAATAATAATCCCAGGACAATTCACACAGCGCCATCTAAAGCCTGTGTTATGATACTAGATAACTGATACAAATACATAGATATTTTTTTTGTAAATACATACATATTCATAAAAAACACCCAGACCGATACAATCATACTCATGAATACAAATGTTTGTGCCGTGCGAGGAATCGAACCCGCGACCATCGGACGGAAAGCGGTGTGCTAAACCGCTAGACCACCGAGGTCGTCAAATTAGAACGTGAATCTAAAAGATCTTTGGTCTGGTAAGAATTCCACACACCATCTCGTCACACCTCTGACGGGGAATGGTTTTTTGAAGATTTTTCCACAGATAACATGCCTCTTATCCTGTAATTCGCTGCCTAATCTGCACTCAACAACCGAAATACATCTTACAAGCCAGCTGCTGACTGCTCACGGCTGAAATAGGTGAGACTGAGGTACAGATACATACAGATGACTATCCAGTCCACCTCTAGCTTTTAAATGACTTCCAAAAAGGAGGAGCCCTCTCGTCACCTCTCCAGCGAGAATACAGTCTTTTGAATATTTTTCTACACTATAAAAAAAATGGGTGATAAATGTAAATAAAACTCCCAACTGTTGTGTTCAAAACACATTTTTTTATCTTTTTTATTGAAAAATATTCGTCGACACAGATGTTACATGTCAATCAACAACGCAGTAATAAAACAATGCCGTTGAGTTTGGCACAATCCATTTGTCGCATCATACCTCAATTTGCAAACTACTTCACAAAACAATAGCTGCGAAGCACATGTACATTATCAAAACAATGAGTTAGGCTCTGAATGATCAATTATTCATTGTTCACACATATAAAAACCAATTTTACAATACTCGCATTCATATTCCTTCAGTCTTTACATAGTTGACGCTCTGGACGGCGCGCTGTCACACTGTGGCGAGCGTGGCGAGTGTGACAACGCCCGACACGGGTGGTGACACTCAGACGCCTCGCGGCGACACATTTATAAGGCATTTTATTGAATCTTTATCTATACACTTGTCGTACGTTCCACGACAAATATTTACATTAAAAAGTACTTTTTTAAAATACTCGTGCGCGCTACGATGAGCTAATGAGCAGAATCGGTATGCCGTCTTACGTATATTAATAAGGAATACGCATTATTTAAAATTCCAAGGGAAACAGACATGATTGTGTTCGGCAACCGTGGTTCGCTAGCGCGCCGAGTGCAGTGCCAACTCGAGGTATTAAATTAGGAAGCTGCACAATTCCAGAGATCTATTCCTGCAGCCGATTACAATATCATCGACGTTACAAGGTTGTGATTTCACAAAAATCATCGTTTACATTTTATTTCGCAACAATACAATTACAATACATAAGACTTTTTTGAAACAATTCGTGGTTTCCAATGTATTAAAATTTCAAGGCACAAATAGTTACTGATGCAATGTTTATTCAAATGCAATAAACATTATTTGTAAATTATGAAATAGTGTCTTGATGGACCGCATAGGGTACCATGATTGAACGTGGCAACATGGTACGCGGGTCGTTTAAACTACAGTTGCAATCTTCGTAAGCAAATGAATATCATACACAATACATAATAAGGAGCAAAATCCAGCAGACACGCTGCCGTTGCACTGTACGTAACCACATAACGCATTAGGGAATCTTGTACAAAAGGTAAACCACAACCGCAATTAAGAGCCGGTCTAAGGAACTTACGTAGTAGCTTACACATAATAAAAAAAAACCTCCGTCTCGCCAGTACGGCGGCAGACAACTAAGCTCCCTCCCCCCCCCTCTATCCTTCTTTCCCTCCTAGATACATCGCGAAGAGCGTCGCCGGCACCGCGACGCGGTAAATCATACCGAAATACATAATTATAATATATATATGTTTTCATATTTATAAGGTGCTTAACAATCAACACACGCACATAGAATATCTCAACCTTTCCATCGTAGCAACAAACATACGCGATGGACGCACACACGCGATAATAAAATTTAAATCAAAACAAAAGAAAAAAAAAACAATATTGCCGCGCCCCGTCCGGATATGCTAGACGCGCGTTGGCGAATCGCCTGAGGCGTGTGACGCATCGCCAAACGCGTGTAGCGTGTCGCGTGACACTTTCGTCGTGTCGCACGACACTCGCGGCGAGTCGCGCGACGCGGGCAGCCCGTCGTACGACCAGGTAGCGTATAAAACGCGACGTGTCGACACTGCCGACGGGGCGCGGCTAAAGTAGGCCCTTTCCATATTTTTTTGTGATTTTTTGAATGTTAACATTTTCATAGAATCGAAAATCTTTTTACATCACAAATTATACATGAATATAAGCCGTTTATGGGAAAGGACTCTAGTAGATTCCCCTTCTATACCCTATATATATACATATGTACAATTATCATATGTTTCCATGGACTGTCATAAAGTTGTCTGTCTCATTATAATTGTAAATATTACTATTTTACATCTA